CTCCGATCTATTACCAATATCACCGATTGGTACCACTAACGCCGACGCTACCACTCTTGCCGTTACTCTCTCGACCGTGATTTGTTACGACGATAAATTCTCCTTCGCGTTTCTATTTTTTTAATTCCTTTCTTTCTACCGCGCTTTTATCATTGCGGAGACATTCGAAACGAATCGATGCTGATCCATAATGGGACGTTATAACGATATAATGTTATATAAGCTGTAATTTCATTACGATTTCAGAGGAGGACTAGAGTTAAAAATATCAACCATTGGAAGATTGGCTTTTAGCAAATATCCCATAAAGATATATCGCCATATATATTGATGGGGGTACAGCACAGGCACTACGCTATACCGCAGCGGGTATCATCGATAGCATGGTACGGGAACCTTATACCATTGTCACGGTTCGATTCACGTTCGAAGTAATATTATATCCCGAATGATTGGTCTCTCGCGGCGTAACGTGAATTATGCACAATAAAGATTCCAGCCGCGAGATGTAGGCTGCGCGCAGGTCTCTCCCTTACTTAATGCCCCGGCTAAACACATATATCGCGCATCTCGGGATATCACAATGTTTACCCGGAACGTCACGCCGATCACCGGCGATCTCTCGAATCGAAGTTACTCCCGATATTCCTATCGATACCCGTCGCTGTCGCCAATCTCGCGTACAATCTGCCATTTCAATCGCGCTTCCGTAATTACCCAGAATCCGCGGCCCCGAACGAGCGAGAAATCCGTTCAAGGATTCAGGGCTCATAATTCGTAAATACGTGTCGATTAGTAGCTGCAATAATAATTTTATCCTGTAGCTAAATTAAAAATCAACTAACTACAATTTTTCTGGCCTATTTATTAAATATGGCGAGATCGCGATCGTGATGAATTACATGTTCATGCTATGCTCATATCGTGGTCGGACTTCCAGGTGTGTTTAGACAAAAACACCGCGACATCTGCGTCATACTTAGATACCCAGCCACGTGCACATGGTGGCGAAGCCTATTAGCTGTTCCATTGAAAGGAGACTTTCCTTTCATGCCATGCAGCCGGGCAGGAATTAGGATGAAGTCTTGAAGCATGTTGCAACGCTTAACGTAGTTCCTACGAGCGTACCTGAACGTGGGTCAACGTCCGGTTCCTTGCTCCGGTTGTTGCAATCCTCTTGAGATTCTTTGATTGTCACCAGGGCAGCAGCATAATACAAAGCGTGAAAGCGTCATTTTTTTTGCGTTGCACTTATAGAAATAATATTTTTTTATAATTTAAACATATTCTTTGTTAACGTTAATGTTACTTCCAAGATGAAAGTAATATTAACTTCAACAAAGAATCTACCCTGGTGACAATCAAAGAATCCGTGATCTGAATTTTTCTGTTGCATTTATTGTTATAAAAGTAGATTTTGTTAATAATTTAAGCATATATTTTGATTTAAAAAATTGTATTTCCAAGGTGATGTAAAGCGATCTTTTTCTATTGCACGTATAAGGAGCAGTTTTTTAAATAATGTTACTAAATAAAAGCATATTCTTTGATAAAGAACACTTTACTTCCAATTTCAGAATCCATCTTAGAAAAATGGCTTTCCAGAAGAATTTAAATTTCCGATTGACTCAAAGATAGATAAATGTTTTCAGCGGGAAATTGGCAACATAGAATTCGAATATAATTCCGTAGCTGAGATGTTGGATCTCATCACTGACACATATCTAAGGTTCCGGAAAATGCGGCGTCCCTACGCGAGTTTATCCCAAGCAACGTCTATCCCGAGCAGCATTAAATTCTGACACGTGCCGTGAGTAGGTTTACAACGTATTCCGTTTGGTAACGGGCCAGCATTTACGGAGTTATGACACCAGCGGACTTTGGATCGTAAATTGCACGTGCGTTGTAGCGGTGGTGCGTTAAAAACGGAACGGAATGAAGCAAATTTTCAGGAACATTTAGCTCGTTGATTCACGCGAGGCGACCGCGCGCCGTCGTCTCATGTTTGTCCAGCAAAGCGTGATATATTCTCTAAGCGCACAGAGTTAGAAGGATTAATGAACTCTATTAAACGTTATGGCTATACATTTGTCTTCAGGATATACAGTCCCGTTACATAATATACTAAATAGAGTTCCGTTAATGAAATTTTACGAACGCAACGCCTTCAAATTATAATTATTTAGTACATAAATTCCTAATTTAATAAGACTATCTAATCTTCATATAGCTACTTATGATATGTATTTTTATATTTCAATCAGGAGAAGATGGGGTCATTGGGGAAAAATAGGTTGCCCGGGTAAAGGCTCTGAGGGAAAACGTGCGCTTCATTACGCGAATCGTTAGGCGCGCGCGATCTGGCAATTACGCAAGACAATGAGAGACGCGATCGCGCGAGCGCGTTAGGAAACCGCTCTCGGCGTGCATCTTGAATGCCTGAACTTTTCCGTAGATTTTTCGCAGCGGATGCGGCGAATCTCTATAATTACGAGCTGAACGCGCTCGCCCGCTCGCGTGGCCGTGTTCCACCTATGTCGGATGCGCGCGGGTTGAAAATGGAAAGTGAGGGGAGACCGTCGCGGTGCGCGCAATAACGTAAAGCTTGTGCAATTGCAACTGCAACTGCCGCTGCACGAGCACACGCCTTCGCGGCATTTCTTTTCCGGAGTACATACGTACACGCGCTCCCGTCCTCCGGATCCAGAAGCTCCGTCCTTCTGCGCGGAGGGACGACGCGAGGAAATCCCCCTCTATTAGCTCCCTTCGAGGCGTTCTCAAGAGCCGCAATGAGGAGATACCAATACTAGCCGTCTAATTGCGCGCGCGCTCGAGTTTCCAGGTCGTTGATCTAGAACAAACAAAAACCGGGAGTCCCGCCGGCCCCTAGATTATTCCATCAGTTAACCTCGAACACAAATTAATGCGCGCAAACTGGAAACGGAAAAACTTTCCCAAGGGAAACCGCCTTCCCTCCTGTTACGCGCGTTCTCTTTCCTTTCCACGCTACCCGCGTACGCTATTCGCTGTATCTCTTCGATGCTTTTCCATTTGACTAGGAAAACAGATAAAGTGTAAAAGACAAGGGTAGCTGAAAATAAAACATTGCTATGTCATATTTTAGGTCAAATAAATTTTTTAGTATAATTACTTTTACATACTTTTATTATAATAAATTGATTTTTTTAACAATGTTTTAAGATCAGTCTCATTAAAATAATCCAAAAAATATATAATTTTTTGTATTTTTTTGAAAAGTTAATATGTGAAAAATATGTCCTTAAACTGGTTTTTAAAAATTTGAAATATTTAGAAAGTTATCGTTTCCGAGACCTTTTCTGCGCGCAGGTAGACATTCGGACAGCAAGACGGTTCGTGCAAGGCAATAAATAAACGGTAACATATTAATCACAAGTCTGTTTTAGACCCCAAAACTGCAGAAGTTATTTGACCTGTTTATACAAATTTAATGGATCGTAATTTACACAAACTTACCGGAACAAAAGTTTCAATTTGCCGCTATTTAGCAGAGAATTCTTACAAGCACATAATATAGTAATAATCGGAAAATCATCAAAGAAACAACTTTAATAGCTGCAAAAATTTTCAGTAAAAGATATTATATTATGCTTAAAATACTGGTGCTAATGGAAGTAAAAAATTTATTTTCATTCTACAAAAACGAACGAAACATAGAAAAAAGCAAGAATGGTTCGCGGAGAGAATCAAGTGTCATTAAATACATATAAAGTTTCATACAAATCGGTAATACTATTATTTCAATTTACTCGTAAAAAATATGTAATTTTAGGTCTTCTCAATGAGACTGACCCCATAAATTCCTCCGAAAATTGCTAAAAAATGGAAGTAACTTTTGCTTTCGTCAAGAGATATATTCAGGACTTTCAGAACTTGAAACAGCCTGGATGGCATTCCTACGCGGTCCTTAAGGGCCAGGATTCGAGTATCTGTGCTCGCATCGGGGCGGCATTCTTAAATCAATTAGAGACGAGAAAAAGAACCCGCTGACCTTCGATCAGTCAACCGACCACTACTCGGCTACTGTGTCTCCGCGTTGCAGCCGCGCGCCTGAAATCGCCCATTCGCAATTTGGCGGCCTTCTTTAAGAGCTGACTGTGGAACTTCACAAGCATAGTTCCTTCTTGCCAAATATAATAGATACGTTTTTTAACCCACTCCGAGGCCCCTCCCCCTCCCCTCCACACACACGTACATTACTACGCGTACTGCTATGTCGGCAAACTTCGACCGGTCCTAATCGTTCCCGCTACGATGAACAAAAATTTAGCCTTGGGTCTTCCATGACAGAAGAAACGAGCTGCAGATTCTTTTCTCTATGTCTGATTTTGTCCATATAACGATTATATATTGTTGTAACAGCTCTTATTACAAACGGATATATTGCATAAATATGCGAATTTTTTGATGATTAAAACAAGTAAACATCCAATTATAGTAAAATATAATTTTATGAATATCAAATATATGTATCTATAATATAAATGTATATATTAAAATATTAGTCCAGGTAGCACAAAGAGTTTAAAAAGAATTCAGTCATCAATTCTGAGATCATTTTTAGATGCAAAAAGAATTATTTTTCTAAAAATTCTGAAAACGAATTCTTTTTGCATCTAAAAATTAACTCAGAATAGATATCATACGACTGAATACAAATTAATTCTTTTTGAACTCTGTGTTATTATCTGGGAGATAATAAAAAAAAGTATTCTTTATACTATCATTCAAAATATTATGTAACAAAAAATATTTTTTTCTGCAAAGAATTATTTGAGTTTATTACTCTCGTGTAATAGTCTGCTAGTGAACGTCTCCGTAAAGGAAAGTTCCGCGACATTTATTCTGCTCATTAATAATCATGTCAAATTGGAATTGAAGTCGAAGAGATGCGCGCTGTATATCTTTATTGCGCACACAGTCCTCTGCAATGACATTTAACGTTTTCTAACTCTTTTCAGGATGGTTTTCTGTGATATCTGGCAATAACACGACGGGCAGCGCGCGCGTCTACCGAAGAGTGGATTCCTTGGTGAAGACGGGGGTGCCTGCTTTTCTGTTGGCGACGCCTCTGAGAGCGTACACATTGACGCACTCGAAAATGGGTAAGTATATGGTCAGAAGAAGCTGTGGAAGATGCCGCGCGTGATCGCTCGCGAAATGTCAAACGTCGTTGCAACGTTCTTGACCTAGATGCATAGAAATATCGGTGCAGCGTAGAAAGTGCTCTATCTTTCCCGCTTCCCTCTTTCCCGCGCCTCTCATCTCACTTGTCTCTCGCACGGAAAACAGAAACACACGCTCGGAAATAGTCAAGAGTTATATATTATATCTCTTTTACGATTGTGTGAATTACTGCTCTTCGTATAATTTAAACGTACCGATCATACTATTCTAAACAACAAGGAAGTAGAAAGATATAAATTTCGAACAAATAAATAAAAATTTAATTGATACTGAAAAGCACGCTGATCCATTAAAATAGGTATTTAAGTTTAATATTTTAACCAAATTTTTACGGCTAACAACTCCATTTACATATCTACGCTCGTAAAAATGTTCCCTTGCTGTTTTGCGATCTTGCTAAAACCGCAAAGAAAAAAGAAGAAAAAACGAAAGAGGAAGCTTCGAATCTTTTTTTGCCAGACGGCTAGCCAGACGTCAAGGTTGACGTAAATTAGGTAATAATAAAGTCGATGACACGCACTAATAGGATGTAAACTACCGCGCGCGATAAAACTGAGACTTCATTAAAACGGGAATATTGGCAAAAACACGGGTAACGGCCGAATTTGGCGCGGGCGCGATTGGCCTATGACCCTATAATGTTAAGTATACACATCGGCGCGAGATCATCGGACAGGACTGGAAAGGACTGTGCCGTTTTTTTTTTGTACCGTTAAGGATGTGCTTTTACGACACGACTGTTAGGGACGATTATGTTGGGCTTTCTTTCCGAGATTCGACGCGTTATTAACGGGACAACCGCGTGCATCTTAATCAGAGAGGACGAACCGTCGGAGTTGCACGCCGCGATCACGGCGTACTTCGTACTCTAGCGTATACGCGAACAGAGTGTCGCGGTTATAATTTGCGCTCGTCTCAAGTTTTGCTGTCGCATTCTTTTCAGAGAACGGAAATCTGCGGGCCCATTACACGAAGACGACGATCCGAGCCGGCGAGATACTACGGCTCGTGGCGGTCTTCCAGGATACGCGGCGGTGCAGTTCGGTCTCCTTCACCATTGCCGGCGGATGCCCCGAGAAGGACCAGTATGCACAATGCATCGACCTTCACGGGCGAGAGGTGTTCGCCTCGCTGTCGACCAGGGGCGAGTTCTACGCGATCTGTCAGGGAAGCGGAAGCGTCGAGGCGGGTAGCGACGCGGTGCTCTACAAGGTTCATCACCTCGCCAAGAGACAGCTGCCTCTCAGAGTGAGTCGCATTTACGAATTTATGTTTCCGACAATTAACGTTGAAGATATATTTTCTTTCGTTACATTTTATGTCTCTCCCTTAACTTTCACGGTTATTAATTAAATAAATTTTTCCCTTCAGGTACGACTGATAGCGGGACCACTGCCGGTGCCACTGCCGAAGGAATACGGCGGTCTAATGCAATTGGAGACATCAACGCGTGGTCCCATAGTGCTGGGCTGCGTTGTTCCCGAGAGACCGGTGCACAATCCGGAAATGCTCGAATTGGTCGTGTCCGGTAACGGAGCACCGCGAGTGCGAAGAGCTCGATTGGGTTATCCCTCGGAGGCGAGATTGTTAGCTTCCCCGAAAATGCAACGATTATTATCAGCCTGCAGGTAAAGTCATTAATCGGATCAAAAATAACTCTTTCTTAGTAGAAATTTTTTTATTACGCGAATTATTGTAATCCATAAATATAAATCGCAGAGAAATCATTCAAATAAAATTGTTTCTGTTTTCTGCGCGTTCGGCAATTTTCGAAAAACTTCTATTTAATGTTTGATGTATCGTGGAAAATATCAACCGTTAGCTCGTTATACCAAAATCTATCTATATTCTACGTGGTTGAACTGGTTCTTTTACTTCAGCCGAACGGTCGGAGATCGTGCAACGGAACCGCGAGTGGCGCCTACGAAGCTGCATCCGCCAACCGTGGAAAGCCTGAAGGAGATGCATCTGAAGAAGATCAAACCGAAACCGGAGACCAAGCCGATCCTGCAGAGCCTGAAGGACGGGCTGGAGCATTTGAAACGGAGCTCCGTCAAGGAGCGGAATCAACAGACGAAGCAGAGTACCGGGAATGGCATTCTCGAGAGGATCTCGAAACTAACTCAGGGCAACAGGAATCGCAACCCCGCGAAAAAGTCGGCCTCCTTCACGTTTGCGGTGAGGCCGGAGATCGCCATGAGATCTCAGGAGCGTTACTCCAGTCTGGAGCCGGAAACTACCTCTCATCAGACGCGCCAGAATCAAAATGCTAAGCAGTCGGTGCAGAGATCGGTGTCGACCAGCGTGCTGGAGGTACCGTGCGTCGAGCTGCAGCCCAACTATTCTCGCGTGAGGGACAGCCTGACGCCGCTACCGTCGCTCCCGAAGCTGGTCAAGACCGGCGGCAGTAAGACCGAGGAGATCTACGCCGAGATCTGCGACACCGCGGCGGCGAACCAGGCGCAGAAGTGCCCGGGTAGTCACGTGATGGCGCGAATAAGGATCGTCGTGCAGGGCAACGACTCGTCCTTGGGAACGCACAATGTGATCGGTAACGAGAGATATGTGAATTCGATGGTAACGAGCGAGCAGATCGACTCGATCATCAGTACAGAGGATGAAGTGATCTACAATACTGTATTTTAAAATTAGGATGACGTACAAAATGCAGTTTATAGTGCTTATGATCGTACGTAAGCGGAAAAGAGATTTCACTGTAACTCGAGGCAGCGACGTATGGAAATTTCTAAAGTGTAGGAAAACCGGCTGTGTTCATCGCGCGCCCCGCGCGCGCGATCAACTTTCTATCCGCTGTTTCGAGATGTACCATATTATGTAAGTTGATGTATTAAGAAAATTTGTACAAGTATTTTTATAGAAAAAATATACAGAGATCTTCTGTACATATCTTTGCCATACTATTAATGTACTAACAATTGAGATAAGAATTTTTTAGACATGTTTCTTAGAAATCATGATTCTTGCTCAAATTAAATGCAAATGTAAATGTAACTTACGTCAAAAATAAAATCTAATTTTTGTTAAATCCGCTTGCTGTCCACGAAAATAGAACAGTGTAAAAAGGAAAACATTGATTCTGTTTGTATGAACAAAAAAAATATATTTTTTTGTCTTTTTTAACTTTCTTAGATCTTCTTGAATTTTGCGCGTGTTGTCTCTTCGAAAATGCGGCGTTGTCATCTTTATTTTTATCAGTATTATTTGCTATTACTTTTTTTCATCACTTCGATAGCCTTTTGTGCATCCTGAGTCATATCTATAGTCAAATTATCATCATAATATTTTCCCGAGAATCCTTTCGGGAATACTGGTTTTGATAATAAAAATCGCAGTTGACTTTTCTTTGCCTTCAAATGTCGCCTCAACGCCGCTCTTTCTTCCGATTCTGTTGATGACTCACTAAAATAAAAAAAACATAGTTAATTTATACTGCAAAAATCGAAAAAAAAAAATTGGTTTATTTTTCTTACTTATCGTCCTCCTCGTCCAATATCATGTCCATGTCCTCCATCGCTTTTTGTAGCCAACCCTTCTGATTGTTCTGCCGACGAGATTTCAATTCTAGCTTGTCAATATCGCGAGCAACGTCCACTCTTTCTTTTATGGCGATTAGCAGCCTGTCTACCACCGGAAATATAGGCAAATCATCCGCTGTAAGAATAGATTCACGTTATACTTCTGATTATTAATCATTGAATCATTCAATAAATCAATATTTTTAATTTCAACGTACTACGTCCGAGAGTTTTGCATAATTTGGTGTAATATTGTTTTTCAGAAGGTTCCATCATTAGAACAGTGATACCTTCGTTCTGTGCTCTCGCTGTTCTACCGCTTCTATGTACATAATTCTGTAAAATAATTATTAAATCGATTATGCAATCAATGTTTTAATGCAATGTTTAGTTAACATTTACAATATCTTAGACACATTTTAGACATTCACCTCAGCTGTTCTGGGAACTTGGTAATGTATCACATGCTCTATATTAGGTATATCTAAACCTCGCGCAGCTACGTCCGTGGCTATCAACAATCCATTTTCATCAGCTAGAAATCTGTAATATTTCGTATCAGTAAATATGTCACAAGGAATATTAGATACACAAAATGGTTTCTTCGAAATATTCCCTTTCATCGCATATTACAGAGATCAATCCGGGTGATTTATTATTATTAAAAAAAAAGTACTTTAACATACATATATATTTCCTACCTTTCAAGATTTTTTAAACGTTGACGTTGCTGCATATTAGCGTGTAGAGGTAAAGGTTTGCATTCAAGTATACTGAAAAGAGTGGCCAATCTTTTCACGCAGCCAATGCTGTTACAAAATACTAACGTTCTTCCGCAGTACTTTTTTAAAAAGTAATAAAGGTAATAATCCTTATGGTCAATTGTGCACGCTATTCGACATTCCATTAAGGTTTCGGCAGTACCTGATAATATAGATTTGATTAAAATAGTTGGTACAAAATTTATTTTGATTAATAGATGATTAAGAGATGCATATTTACCTGTCTCTCTTGTAATATCAACGACTTTAGGATTCTTCATTTTTAACAATTGTATAATTTTTTGCAACTTTTGATCGGGGGTGAGTTTACATATTTTACTCCTGGCGTATCGCTTCTTCTTTCTGTCAAGATAATCTGGGAGATCGTGTACCAACGTCAGCGTGGCCGAAAAAACAAACGTCTGCCGTTTCTGTACCTTCGCTGAATTTGCATTTATCTTTTCCAACAGATCATGCAATTCTTGAAAATGACCCTTTTCCAACATTCTATCTGTCTCATCGATAGCTAAATACCTAAATTATATAACATATTAATAACATGTGCTGAAATAGATAAACAGCTTCTTACAACAGATCCTTAAATTACCTGATAGAATCTATTTGACTGAGATGAGAGTTGCCTTCTTGAATTAATTCCCACAGTCTTCCAGGTGTGGCAATGACAATTTCGGGATGAATTTCGTTTAATATCCTTTTTTGTTTCTCTGCCGCCATGCCTCCAACGACAATAGCTATCTAATGATATAATAACATTAGATACATGTAAAATATCTATATGTAAAATCTTTAAAAAAGGACTTTAAAAAAGGTAATCTCTTACTTTAACATTTGTGTATTGTGCTGCCTTATCAAGATGGTTCTTTATTTGAACTGCTAATTCACGAGTAGGCGTCAGTATTAATGCATACAAAGGCTTGATTGGAATACTACAATGATCACGCTTTCCCTCATATGCACACATAGTTGAGTGATTCTCAAACTCCTGTCCTTTAGTCTGTCCCATCAAATCCATGATGCCTTTTATAATCGGAATACCAAATGCTAAAGTCTTACCGCTACCAGTTTCAGCAGCACCTAATATATCCCTGCGACCTAATATAGCAGCTGGTAACGTTCGCACTTGTATCATAGTGGGAGAAGAAAATTTCTGTTCAGCTAGAGCTCTTATTATAGCAATAGGAACACCCAGGGGGCTCCATATTTCAGCTATCTCGGTCAAACTTCTATTACTGTTTATATCACAGTGTGAATCATTGTTACTGTCAGAATCAGTCTGTTGATCGATGCTTTCTAAGTCTGCTGACTTTACTGTCTTCTTAGTCTTTTTCTTTGTGCATTTTGTTTTCTTAATCTTCGATTTCTTCGCCGAAGGTTCAATATTATCAACATCAGCTTCTTTCTGGTTCTTTGGACGTTTACGCTTTGACGCTAACTATAATTTAGAACATAAATTTAATAAAAGCGTTAAAATGTGTTGAAAAATAAATACTTACTTTGTTTTTCTCAACAGAATTCACTTTTGTTGTTACGATTTTGCCTTTTTTGCTGCTCCGCTCTAAACTATAATCCGTCAACTCCTCTATTCCAATTAACCCTTCTATCCCGTTGGACAGTAAAGAGCCTTCCAACGTTACATGTTTCCAACCACTCTCAACTCGTTTAACTTTTGCCATAATTTAAAAAAAACTTAATCCTATTGCTATATTGCATATATGTATTGTTGGCGGGAAAAACTAATTACTGCATTTCACGTTAAACAGACATTTACACGTGAATCGCGTGGTTACATAACCTCAATTGGTCAAACAGCACGTGGTTAAACGAAGGAATATTTTTCCTCACAACTATTCTATTATGGTCAACACCCAACTACACAGTATATTGCCAGTAACAACACATAAATTATGATAAAAATAATCAATTAAACAATAATAAAAATAAGAAAACGCATGCGATTCAAAGATACCGCAGTAAACTTAAGGATCGGAAAAGAAATCTCATCTCACAATCAGCTGATCTCAGCTCTAACCTCTCCGAATCCCGAAGTCAGCAACAGTAGGAACCACCGTACCGTACACTACCGCCATTACATCTATTTCCGAAATGGGAACTACATCAATTTTTTCACAATGTCGATAAAATCACAGCAGAGAGAACGTTGAAAATGGATGTGGTTTGAGACTGGGACTTCAAAATTTTCACATAGTTCAAAAAAAAAATAAATGTTCTTTGAAAGATATCAAAAAATTGTTTAGAGAAGTCTTTCGACGAACATACTAATGTTAACATAATAATGATCTTTAACATACATATACACAGATCTTAGCTCAAAAAGCCGAGAAGCTATTTTTCTATATTTACAACATTGCGTTTTAAGAAATATTTATTTTTAATTTGAAAATTTAGATAAAATTCAATAAAAATGTATTAATCTCTATAGAGGCCCTCCACCACCCCCGCTGATTATAATCAGCAGTCCTCTTTTTAAATGTGTTTGTAATATATTATTTAATACAATATATAAGCACAGTACATGTAAATAACGTTAACTTGCTATCTGAATGACACATATTCTTTTTACATTTATATATTGTTTTTTATGTAATGTATTTTGATATCAAAGTGTATAATAAAAAGTTTCAATATACAAAGTACGTATACCACAACTGCAGAAATCAAATATATTTGAAAATTTTTCAACCATATATTTTCAATTTAAATTTTATATAAAATTTAATTGGGCTAAAACAAGTTAGCCCGTAAAAGGCCCTCCACCACCCCCGCTGATTATAATCAGCGGTCCTCTTTTTAAATGTGTTTGTAATATATTATTTAATACAATATATAAGCACAGTACATGTAAATAACGTTAACTTGCTATCTGAGTGACACATATTCTTTTTACATTTATATATTGTTTTTTATGTAATGTATTTTGATATCAAAGTGTATAATAAAAAGTTTCAATAGATCGGAAGAGCA